GGCCACATCTCTGAGCTTGAAGAGAAGATTATGTTCCACCTAATCGTCCAACTACTCAATCAATTTGTAGAATTTTAAACAAATTTGAAGAGACTAATACGGTTACAGATCTTGTGGGGGCCTGCGCATCAACGTTTAGCTACTTAAACTTCAAAATATCGCTACTGTAGGGGAAAATGTGTTGCCGATGACCCGAATATGTCTATTTCTCAACGAACTCAAGAGCTGGGATGTTCTTATGGCACATAATGAAGTCTTTTGTACCTGAACTTACAGCTACATACATATAAAGCTCAGCTAACAAAGTAACTAAAGCCGGCTGACCACTCACGTACCGCGTTGTAAGTAAGTCGATTGGATGCTTGAACCACACGCAGTGGGCGCCGATTTTTTGAGCAAAATTTTATTCCGCGACGAGACACATTTCTCACTCGGGGGATACGCAAATAGTAAAATTGTCGCATTGAGGCGCCGAGAATCCTCAAAAAACACTTACTGTCCGCAACGCTGATTGGTCCGGAGGTGTAATTGGATCTTACTTCTTTGCAAGCGACAACGGCAAGACTGTCTCTGTCATTGCGGCGCGCATTGGTCATATGATAAATGACTGTTTTAGGCCTGCAAATTGAAGAACATGACTTGGACAATATGTGGTTTCAACAAAGTGGTGCCACATGCGTGAGAAATTTCCCGGCCTGCTTAAGCTCTCGTCTTGGCGATGTCAATTGGCGTACGAGGTAACATTGTTTCACTTATTTTTTGTGAAACTACACGAAATAGCGTATTTATGCGCATAAGCATTTAACTCTGGAACACTTGAGGACCAACATTTCTCAAGTTATGGCTGAGAAACCGCCTAATCTGCGCCAAAAAGTGAACGAAAATTACCTCAAACGAATCAGTCTTTTACACATATTTAACCAAGGTTCAAACTTTATATTAAAAAAAAGCAATTTCATGAAAAAAAAAAATTATCTGCATTTATTGTCGTAATCGCAAAATGAACAATCCTGTATTTATGAACGCCCATAATAGTCAACCTCAAGTGCAACAGGTAGTAGATATTAGTTTTTGCGGCTGGCTTTTAACTCTCTAAACATATTAAAATCCAATTTACGTCGTCTAATATGCAATTAACTGCAGTTCTCGTACAGCGACGGCATCACAACGGTGTAGAATTTTTTTTTAATGAAATGTAACCACTCCGCCAGCCAACCTAATTATTATTGGCAATTTCAAACATTTTGAGTTGCATTAAAATGTGCCCAATAAACCAGCCGCAATCAGTGTGCACTTAATGTATAACCACCTACATACATCGATTAGTTGGGCACAAAACGTACGTGTACAATGCATAGAACACACACACGGACACCGTGGCGTATACGCAACCAAAATTTAATTAATGCACACACAAGCGCACAATGAAGCTGTACAAACAATTCAGTTGCTAACAGACGTTCGAAAAAGCAACAACGTGCTGAGTGGTACATTCGGTATATATATATATATATGTGTGTATATGTGTGTGTGTGAAAACTGACTAAGCTGTTTAAGCAAAGCAAACATCCACCCAATAAATGGATTTATTGGTAATATGTGCATATATAAATATTTAGCACCAAAGGTTTTGGCATTAAAAGCAAAAAAAAAATGTTCAACACTTTTTGGTGAACCCTTTAATATTTAAAGATGTTTTAATTGTGTCTATTCCCCAGCCAACCAGCTGGCCTACTTACTGCATTCGCCTCGCACCAATTAATTGGATTGAAAGTGTAATGAAATTTAACAAACAAAAAACACTTACTGCGATTGTGTGTGGTTAAGTAAGAGTATATATGTATAATAATGGCTTAGTAAAAATAAATCCATTATTTTTCCAATAGAAGGCGTTATTTATCTGTCTCTCGCGTTGTATAAGTCGGATCGGGTTCCACTAGCTGCCGTTAGAAAGACAATAAAGCTTTTCTTTTGTGATTGGTTGATTCGTTTGGGTTTGAGATGGACACCAGCAAAGAGAAAATACGCTATATTTCACTGTTTTTCTTCATTAAGAGCGACGGCCAGACGGCTGAAAGTATGAATAGCACTCATGGTCCTGCTACTCCTACAGTCAATCATGCACAATTTCGGTTTCTTTCTGGAAATTTTCAAGTAAACGAAGATTCACAGAGTGGAAGGTCAGTTTTCGAAAATGTCGCTAAAGCCATGGACATTGTGGAGTCCGACCGTCATGTAAGCACTGCTTCGATTGCCTAAGAGCTAAAGATTGAATAAGGCTGGATACGAAAAGTAAAAATTAAATAAATTAAAAATAATGGATTTCTTTTTACTACACCTAATAAAAGACCTTCAGTTCAAATGGTGTTTAGAAATAGATTGATAGATAGAAAGATAGTAGATAAGACCTTAAGCGCATATGCACTCCATACTTGTTACCATTATTCGCGTTACCCCGTTGCTTTGAGGAATCCTTTGGGTGATAGAGGGTTCACGTAATTTCAGGGTTCATGTATTTTACCTCGAGCAGTAACGTGTGATGGGAAAAATTCGGTCTACCTCTCCAACTTGCAAATGGGATAGCAAACGAAAGCGGAAGCGTGAAGCCAGACGCATTTGCAGATAGAAAAGTAAAGAGGACGAAATGCATGCGTATGAAGTGCTTGGATAATCTGGTGGACACAGATAATATTCGAAAATACTGTGAAAATATGCAACGTCTTTCAGAAGATTTCAAGACCGGAACATACTCATATAGAAACCAAGTAGATAATCTGTTGGCCGATGTCCAAACTGTGTTTAGAGATGAATAAGAACTGACCCAGCCGGAGATGATGGAACAGGCGTCTCCTCACCCGTCTATGACGAAGTTCGAATATTGATTGCATCTTCGAAGAATAAGAAAGAAGATTGCTTTACAGAATATGGTAGTCGGATATACGCTGCACAAACTATAAGAGAGACGATCCAATGGTCTGCGCTCAATATCGTTGAATAAGCCTCCTCAATATCGCATATACGATCTTATCGCACTTACTTTGTGTACCCTGTCATGTGCCAAATCACGGAAAGGGCTTTAGAGAAAGGAATGGATACATTCCACAACTACGTCGATTTTAAAGCTGTCTTGAATAGCAGAGACAGAAGTTGCCTCTAAGCATTTCGATGTTAAACAAAGTTTCAGACAAGGGGATGCAGGAGAAAATAATACAAGCTGCAGAACTATACGGAGAAGGTACAATCTTCTATAAGAGTTTACAGCTGCTGACCTAAGCCGATGAGATTGACATCATTAGCCTCAACAAATTCGCTGTTTGTTTTGCCTTTTCTCAATTAGGCAAAGAAGGGAAGCGTATGGGCCAGGTAGTCAACGAGGGCAAGCTTCGCTGTATTACCAGGTTTTCCCAGTTACAGCAGCTGAACCGCAGAACCCAGTTTGAATATTTCGGGTAAAATCAGAGTGGCCAGAAAGAAATTTAGTATGTTACCTTAACCAATGTGAAAATCCAGCTAAAATAAGCTGAGACACTTTTTCGAGTCTCACGAGGCGTGGTCACTGAATGAAATTTCCACTCGGTCATCACGTCTCATTGGATTAGACAAAGATTTGGCTATGGTCCAGCGCCAGAGCGGTTGCACGAACTTAAGCAACTACATGACGAATTACCATATTGAGTTGTCTAATCCAGGGATTTCAGGTATCCGCTTGGTGTAGATGTTAGCACCCAGATGTTGTTGTTGTTGTAGCGGACCCAGATACTAAATGCTGCTTCGGTGGTAAGTTTGAGCCGATTTTCTGGGTATGAAGAGAGCGGCAGCAGCGACAATTTTTCTGAAAAGACGGCAATAATAACGTCAGTTGAAGTTGTCTAGGATACCAAAGATCGTGGTGCACATTAAAGACCGAATGGAACGGTATCCAACGGGGCAACAAGTAACGGGGGGATATACTATATATGCATGTATTAAATCCCTAGCTCGACCCGCGACACTTGGCTCTTTATATCAGAACGACTCAGTTTTTTCCGGCCAAGAACTGTCACACACGCAAAATCCGCTAAAAAAAGAATTTAAAAAATATTTTTGCGGCTCAGCATCAACAGTTGACGTATATATTGTTCCGTAAATCCATTCAACCACTGGCCGCCGCAATAGTTGAGCGGTTAGCAGTTCGTACTACCATTAAGTAGGCCACGGTTGGAGTACTGGTCCCACCAACGTCCACAAATTATAGAAATTACTTTATATAAAAAATTAAGTTAATTTTTCTAATTGCGGTCGCCTCTGGGCAGGGAATGCCAAGCCTCACGTATTTATGTACATATATTTCTGACATGAAATAAAGTCTTCTTATCAAAAACTATCGGCTTTTTGGAGGCTGTTTAGACGCAAAAATCACAAATTGGAGAAGAAGCTCGGCCGAAAGTCGCTTTAACGTTTACAAAGCTCAAATTCTAATAGTAAATCCACTCATAATCCATACAATGAAAACGAAATATGTACATATATGTATTTTTAAGTGTATGCGTTTATTAATTTTTCATAATCAAGAATTCCAAAGTTTAGCTTATTCGTGTAAGTACATACTCTTTTATACACTCTTACACTGTAATCTACAAATTACGCCTACATCTAAGCGAATAGTATGCAAGTAATTTTGTTGACTAAAAATTGCAATATGCTTAATATTATAACAAAAAAAAAAATAGAAATTAAGTTTCGCTTAAACTAAACTTACAATTAAAATAAATTAGCATACAAAATATATGTATGTATATATGTATATGTCTATTCTTTACATTTGCATTTAAGCTGGCCGCGTGCGTAAGTATTAGAGTGTATATATTTATGTAATATGTTTATCTGATATACATTTCTGCTTCTTTCTTTCTTTTTTCTTCCTTTTTTTCTTTTTTCTTCCTTTTTTTCTTTTTTCTTCCTTATTTTCTTTTTTCTTCCTTTTTTTCTTTTTTCTTCCTTTTTTGTTTTTTGTTTTTTTTTTCTTTTTTTTTTGTATACAAATATCAACAATTAATTACACGCCTTTTGAATAGTTGAATAACTAAATCGACACTACAACTACGACTACATATGTGTCAGTTAACGACCTGCAAGGTCCAAATGTCGCACTATGAACAAATTTGTGTTGTAGACAAACATGTATATATACATACAGTTTGCCTTTACAATTTTCAAATTTAAATTTTTATTACTATCTGACTTTTTTCACTTACATACATACATATGTACATATGTATATATGTATATATATATATGTGTTTCTTAATATAGCATTAGTGCAATTCTTTAGTTTCTTTTACTTTATATTTTTTAAATATAATTTTGTTTTACATAGTTATTATCTAAGCTTTGGTGCAACGAAGGATAGTCATGTTCAAAACATACCATCGGCACGTCCCACCGGTATTAATATAATCAAAAATATCACGAAATTACGCATGACCAACTTCCAGTCATTGGGCACTGCATATGGCAGCAGGGTTTGTGTTATGCGATGCACTTCGTGCGATGCGCATACGAATATGAACGATGTTATGATCATGTTTAGCGTTGGAAAGCCAGGTAGAAGCACAAGCACACCATGCCGATCGGCAGCTAACCAAATGTGATATTGACAAATGAACAATTCCAGTGATATGCGTCCGAACCAGGCGAAGAATGCGGAATAACGTGTGCGTAATATGCCGGATATATTACGCAACACAATATACCCAACAATCGGTATGAAAACGATGTATGAGTGTATCTCTTCGCATTCCTGTTCGTTACGACATAGAAAGGAAAATGTCGTGTATAGGCAAACACTAAGCAAAGCTAGTAATGTAACAGTAATGGAGGTGCGTCGTGCAAAGAGATTACCATGATTGTTATCATCAAATATACTATATTTTTGTGCGGTATGAAAGCAAGCAGCAAATATCATGCCAAAAGTCACCGTGTAACGATCCAATTTCCATTGATACCACCATTCGTGTATATCATCGTCAGTACTCACGAATAGCGCCTTCCACGGGCGAGTTAGGAAAATTCGTTCAAAGAATACTTCGGACATGAAAAGTATTGTGATCACACTGAAACAACCAATGAATTTGGCAACCAAATACAAATAATGCAATGGATGTGAGTCCACACTTTGCGCACTGATGCGTGGCGGCAGTGACAATACGAAATATATAATGCATAACCAAAAGGAAAGCAGTGGTACAAAATAGTAGAACTGATAGGGGCGATTCATGCAAAAGCATAAGATCACTGTTACGAAATTCAAACGAAACATAACCTGAAAGAAACGCACAAAGGCTGAGTTACCGCCAGTTTGCCACATATAACTGAAGTGTGTATAGCCAGTTATGAATAGATAGCTGCTGATTAGTAATTTGATATGCATATGTATGGGAAGCACACGATGTGCACCCGTCATATAGTAGATGAGCACAACAAGCATAATCCAACCTTTCAACTCATCAGTTTGATCACGATTCAAAACTTTGGTAAAGCGTGATTCTTCAGTGAAAAATATGCCCAAGGCGAAGACATAACCAACAGGTATCCAGAAACTAAATTCCGAGTAATATTTGTTTTCCTTCATGAAGAAATTGGTGCGATCGCATAAATAAAAGTAGGACATAATGAGTCCAAGCATAGCTAGTGGTGTGAAGAAGTCCATTATTGAAAAAGCAAAAGACGTCGAGCCATTTGTCAATATACCGCTCGCCGTGGCATTGGCAGTGTGTAGATTTTGGTATGATGATGGTTGTACAAGCGGCGTATAAAATGTATGACCACGTAGGTGTAGACACCAACGACGTAACAGCATTACAGCGACCAAAGTTAAGCTAAAAATATGCATATGCATATATGTATAAATATGGGTATATGTTAATAAATCAACCATTACTTACCATACACCCAATATTGCGAAAGAAACGATCTGCAAATTTGTATAAGGCTCTGCACTGGCACAACATGTGCCATCATTGTAGTTCATATAGTCATTGCAGTACATATTTATCAGTATTTGTACTTCATGCCGCAAACCTAAGTCACTCAGCCGGAAACCCTCCATTGCACTATCGACTAGACCATAAGCTATTTGCCATGCTGACTTCCATACAATGACGTCCGAGTAGCGAAACACAGATAGAGCTGCTGCATTTAAACGATTAATGTCATCATTTAATACTGCCTTCCAAGCTGACTCCTCTACCTTTTCTTCGTTGATATGATCTTGTAATTTCCATAATACTTTTGTTTTATGCGCGACTAGCTCATCAAATGGCACCACTAAACGCGTCAGATTATTGGTAAATTGCTTCACCAACTCATCTGTCACGTTGCCAGCAAGGAAATTGCGATAAGTGAAGCCTAATATAAGTATGACTGGTAATTCTTTTACATCATCTAGTTTATTAAGTGTATCCAGCAAGGTCGGGTCCACTTGATTGGCATAAATGTAACGTGCGTGCATATTCAACTGACGCTCTTCGAAATCTCCATTCTTTGGCACACCCAAGAGTGTTGTTGAGACATTGTCATCGTCACTTGGGTGTAAATGATTGATGAAACTTTGATAAAGTGCACGTATACTCTCATCACCAACGAACACAAAGTAATTGCGATTACCCCAAAAGGCCAAATAGCGTAGGCAACGGCGTGTATCACTTGAAATTATCAAAAGGAAATAGAAACCAGTTAATATACCAAAAACAAATCTTAATAAATAAATATAATAATAACGCATTGGTATTTATGTATGTATGTATGGTTTATGACTAATCGTCAATACACTATCGGCTGATTACTTACGTTTGGGTATATTTATGCATCATACAACCGTACGGTTGCCATTCATTATCGCCTTTAAAACGGCCTTTAGATAACAACCATTGACAGGAATCACTGCCTAATAAAAATGAAAAAGAATCAAATCATCAGAAATACACAAATACACATACAAATGCATTTAAGTCATTGGAAAAGGATTATGCTATGTTTGAATATTCACCATATTGCCAATTTAAGATACCATGATATGCCACAAATCCAAGCACCATTAATAAGGCTACTTTCTTAGCATTTGTCGCATTCAGTTGTTGAATGAGATGTTCTGCTTTAGACTGACGAGGCGCTGGAGAAGCATCACAATTTAGAGGGTGCATTTCAAGAACTTCACTCATTTTAGAATATTTCTAAACTTTGCACTTCACTTTATACTTAATTTTAATTTAAAATAAAATCTGTGCATGTTTTTTAATTATGAAACAAATGTTTCCAATTTTTCGCTTATAAATTTACTATCCTAACAACACAAGGTAATGAATTCGGGTAGAAAATTTTTTTCTATTATTGTTTACACACCTTCCGGATAATTAACAGCTGATAAACAGTGATCGAAAACATTCGATTTGGGGTGGACAACAACAAGTGCAGAAACATTATTTAAGCAAATAAAAATAATTTTTTGGAATTTATTTTTGAAAATCCAGTGAGATATTAAGCAAAATTGTTAAAATATTGTTGTGAAAATGCCAAATACGAATGTGAGGCGAGATGGTGAGACATTTACGTACAATCTTTCAGAAGAAGACCTTTTGTTAAATAAGAACGGAACGCGTATGGCTGGCAAGTTGAGTTTAGTTTTAAGCTCGGTAATGACAACATCGGTATAGAGTAAAGCGGAGTAAGCTGTGTGTCTAGAAGACTCTGGTTTAAGTGTTCCCAATAACATGTTCTAGAAGAGACTGATATAAGGACCTCTCTAATTTAATTTTTGTGGCAACTCTCGTCTGTTATCGGAAACAAGTGTGTTCGCTTGGAGAATCCAGTAAAATTTAGAAGAACTTAACCAGAATAGCTAGCTTCCTGTATAACGGTAGTTCTTTTCAGCAATTAAATTTGAATTCATTAATTTTTATAAGCGTTTTAATAAAAACAACAATTTTTGTATTTAACAAATACACAAATATTGCATATCCTCCTTTTAAGTGTAACCAATATTTGTTATTTTTTATACTCACAGCAACAACTTTGTTTCGCAAGACTTTTTAAATTAAATGGATCCAAAATGAATTTGCATAGTTAAAAAGAATAATAATAGCAAATCAAAGCAATGTGTCATATAAAAGTTTTAGTAATATTTTCCTCAGAAATAAATTTCATAGCTTTTTTCCTCCTAAATTCTTATTGACTGAAATTTGAACAGCAACATCAACAAAAATTTGCAACTTCCCCTCCGAGCGAACACTATTCAGTAACAATTGGCACCAATTTGTACGAGCAGCAGCATAGTGAACACAACAAATGTGGGGATGTTTTATTCCATGTTTTTTCAAGTGATTTGTTTGTGTATTTTGCATGCTGCTTGCTAGCAGAGATCTGCACTAATGTTGCTGGTGTCAAATTAGAAATTTAAAGAATATTTTTTTAAAACACGTCTTTAAAAATAATTAAAACAATTTGTGTACAAATGCGTGATTTGTATAAAACGTTGAAATTGTTTGAGGAAGAATACGCTATGGACTATTGTGAGGAATTCGACGAAGTCAAATCGGTTTTGGTTTACTGCAACAAGCATGTTAAACCATTTTCAAAGGTGCATTTTCGTGGAGGTAAAGTTTTGTACATATTTAACTTTAATTGTAAAAATTTACAATACATTGCATTGTTACAATTATAGGTAATGATTTATTTATAAATGAACTCGTTCGCCGCTTGCAACAAATGTTAATTGAACGAGAACTGGTTGATTCAGAACACAATGAGCCCTTTCCTAAAGCTCACCAAAAACTGCGTAAAATATTAATGTTCTTGTTTGCCAATACAGATGCCACATACAAATATAATTTACGCGAAGATCCCACATTTGCGCATGTATTGGAACAATGTCCATTACTGCCAAAATTCTTGTTAGTAACACTCGTTTGGGAGTTGCACCTAGATCAATTTTTCTATGAAGCACTCTCGTATACTCCTTGCTGGTTCGCTTTTCAATACTTTGAAACTGCAGCCGATACAATGAAATACATTGACGATCCATATGCAGTATTGGAAAAAGTTGAGGCCCTCATGCATTCGTTATTAATTTGTGTGTCTCGATCAGAGTTTCGCAAAATCGACATGGTGGACAGGAAAATCATCTATAATAAATTGTATGACTACAGCATGAATCTACTGCGACAATTCTATACTCCCGATTCCGAAAAGTTTAAGCAGTTCACAAAATTGCAATTTTTTCGCTACTCTGGCTATGCATTGAAGCACTTACTTCAGATGACACTATTTGCTTTTGATTTATTTGAGTACCCAGAGAAAGCTAAGCCTGATGTTGACGTAGATATATATGAAATTTGTCAGGAGATATGTCCAAAGATGCTTGTTGATGAAACATCTCGACCATCGGACGCTCTGAAGGAACAACAATTAAAGATTATTAAATCACTGCTTAACTCTTTACAATACAATGTAATGTTGGTGAAAATTGATGTTTTTATGTATTGGGTTGAGGTTGACATAAATCCTACAACAACGCTTCAGCTAGTAATTGGTGAAATGATTTATAAAGTCGGTGAGCGAATGCGCGCCAATCATCTCTTTGGGCACGACGTTGCAGCCCAATTACACCTGCTAGCTATAAAACCAAAAACATTAGAAGAAACTATAGAGAGTGCAACCTTGGGAGATATTCTACGTAACTTGGATGAAAAATTTCCACAGCACATTAAGAAAAAATGGTTCGATGAACTGTTTGGCCGCACAATTGCACTCGGAAATGAGGAATGTCTAGAAGCCATTAAAGAAAACATTAAGCTAATAACACCGGAAAATTGCCAGCAGGCACTTCACTTCATCAAGCAATCATCTAAGCTTTCACAAATGGAGGACAATGAAAATGAAGTAGAGGGCGAAGGAGAGAATCTGGAAAATATGCTTATAGATCCTACGGATTATGAAACATTAACATCACTCATAATTTTAGGTATACAAAACTTCAAAGCTGAAGACATACTACAGTTATTGTCATATCAAACCAAAGAATTTGGGAAAGACACTTGTATTTGTGTTCAGGAGGACTACCAACGACGTGCTACTGAGTTTCTCAACAAATATGTTACATCTTTCGACTTTCATCAGTTCCTTGTACTGTGCTTCGAGCATCCAGCTCAAATGTGGGCCAAATTCTTTGAATGTGCTTGTCACAATTTGGATCATGTGCGGAATTTTTGCATGACTGTGCAGCAATCACGTCCATTTTCGAATATATACTTTGATCAATTGCTGGAAAATGCAATGCATGATTCGGAAAAGCTAGAGCAAAAATATTTTCCCGAACTCTTATGTGAAATATATTTTGTATTGTATCATCCAACGCGCAAAACGGAATTTTTGAAACAATTCATGAATAAGAATGTAAATACAATGTTGGAAACTCAAAGCTTTGCTCATTTGCTGCCTATCGTAAAAGCATTGAATTTAATTGCAACCCGCGGTGAAACGCAATCAAACAAGCCGTTGTCGTTTGGTGAAGTTACGGCGCCTGTTTTACTGATGGCAGCACAAATTATGGACAAGACACGTTGGGATCTTATTACTTACACAGATGAACGTGACGAGGTGGTGCGTGAATGTATAAAATTTATTCAATATACATCCAAACGATTTCTACCTATTGCAACGGAAAAAGGTAACACAGATGAAAATTGCAAAAATTATATTTGATTAATTTTTTTATCACTTTATTTTCTTCACAGATCGAAAATGGATTACCAAGGTCATTAAAGATTCATATCGTCCTATAACGCAGTATTACTTTCAAAAATTCTCACAAACTCCAGACCAACCAGCTGTAGACTTTGATCGTTTTCTCATACGTTTGGAAATAGAAGACAAATCCGAAGCTGAAATGTTCCTTATTATTGTGAGTGCTTAATTACTAATATTACTTGATTTATATTAAAATATATATTTTTATCGTCGGTAATAGAATTACGTACGTTGCACTATGAAAGAGACAGAATGGCTGGCCCGTAGTGAACGACTCTTACCGCATATTTCCGATGTGATGATTATTTTAAGTGGAGTTGTTGTTGAAACGGATAATCCAAATGCGATCAATAATTATCGTCATTGCCTTATAAATTATGCCAACATTGTATTGAAATTTGTACTGCCACCGTTAAAAAATGAAACGAAACGAATTGAAAAACTAATGCTCAAAGTTTTGAAAATTATCGAATCCGCTCCACCACAATTATATGAAGAAGTTTTCGTTAGTTTTACATCATTATTACTTGATATCATGCGCTGTTGCGCTCATCCATTGAAAGACGATGAGAGTATAACGAAATCGGTGCGAAAACATGTTGGAAACATGAAAGACTGTCAAGGCAAAGAAATATTTTTGGAAAAATTCCAAGCATTAGTGACTGAATTGCTGAGATAATTGTGCTGCACAATATTTTTCTAAAGCTAACTGGATTAATTTAATTGTTATTAAATAATTTTAAGTTTTTTATACTGAACTAAATTTCGTTATAGAACCGAGAATACAAATTTATGTTAATTGAATGGGATTTCTTTAATAAAGATTAATTATTTAGATATGGATTAATTAGTTAATTTAGAGTCTAATAGGATCATAGTAAATGATGATTTCTAATTAGAAGAAAAGATAAAAGGTGGGAGTGGGTAATATGTACATACTAGTTGTGATCAGAAAATAACCGTTATTTTCAATTTTTCCAAAAAGTATTTATTTATCAGTAACTATATTTTACCCCTCAAAGTAGTCCCCTTTAGTTATAATACACTTATGCCAGTGTTTTTTCCAATCCTCGAAACAATCTGAAACGCGTTTTATGATATCGCCAATAGCTTCTGCTCCAATTTTTCTTTTATCTCCTCAATCGTAGCAAAGCGCGCTTTCCTTTCACCGGTGTCTTCAGTTTTGTGAAGAGGAAAAAGTATGGTGCATTATCACGGTGCAAAATCCATTTCCACAAATTTGTGCGTTTCTGACGAATTGCTTCGCGTAGACGACGCATTACTTCTAGGCAGTATTCCTAATTGGCCGTACGACCTTAAGGCAAGAATTCGTGATGCACCACGCTATTCTTGTCGAAGAAAGCAGTGATCAAAACCTTCAGCAATACAACCATGATTCGTCACTAGTTATGACCTTTTTGAAGTAATCTGGATCGTCGTTGACGACATTCAACATCTCCGTGGCGATGTTCGAGCCTAAAACATCCGTAAAAATTGCTTGACATGAGCCGAACATTAGCCACCTCTCTGATAGTGGTTCGACGATTATCCAAAATCATTTTCTTTGTCATTGACTTCTTCTCGGCCTTCCCTAAACCGGTTATACCAGAATTGAACTTGTATTCTTCTCATAGTAGACTCGCCAAACGCCACAGTCAGCATTTAAAATGTTCTAGCGCATTTAATTCCACTTTTTACACAAAACTTAATACAGTTTCTTTGATCCATTTTTTCGCGTAGTAAAAAATCGAAGCGCTCACCAAAACGCCAAAAACAAGAATAAAGATTTAATCAAGGCAGAAGATTTTAGGAACGAAAAAATTGTTTTGTGAATGTAGTGGTAATACCGCGAAATCGTACGATTGCAGTTGTGAAATGTTTACCTCCTTTTGTAGGAACGTAACAATGAACGTAACTCACGAAATTTGAAAATAACGGATATTTTCTGATCATACCTCGTATTTCTGATTTAAATCATTCATTTTTTTTTAACGCACTGTTATATTTTAATTTGCGGCGTACGAAGGGTGGATTTTCGAATATTTAATAATAAATAATCATTTATGTTCAATATCATTCAAGTTTTTATACATTTATCCTTTTTCAAACATTTTGATTCGCTTGAAGTAAACGCAACCCTGCATGCCATTTATATGAACACGCTCGAGGCGAAAATATCGCGGCGAAACTCAAAAAGAATCCGGCGAATTATTCAAAATGACGCAGATGACGCATGCGTTGCAAAATTTTTAATTGCCAAAAAATTGATGAGCGAATCGGAGGTGCAGCAACGAGTAAAAAGCGAAGTAGCAAATTTGTGAAAATAAGTGTCTAAAAGTCAAGAATTTTCTTTTAAATTTAAAATACCCTTTCTCGTTAAGTAAAAGGTATATTTAATATTGACGGGAAAAGAGTACGCGATTGAAAAACTACGTGGAAACGACGCTGAATTTTTAAGGCTAGAGGAAGAAGCAGAGCTGTAAAAGCAGAAGAAAAACGCAGTAGCAGCGTTATTGGCAGGGGCAGAAACGCAATAATAGCCTGTGAAGAATAGATAAACTAGGCGAAAATCTAAACACATACGTTGAACGTGAAGTGTATAGTGAAGAAAAGAAATATATTTTTAATTTAAATAATTTGACGTTCGAATAAAAGCTTCAAAACGGCAGCACCTACCACAACCTTAACGCCAATAACTCCAATACTAATGGAGAAGCCGAAGGAATTGATCATCGAGCCAAAAAGCGAACTGCGCTTTGTAGGTGAGTAAGTGTGTCAGGCCAGCAGGCAATACAATAAAAGAAAACAACTACTAAGTTATATGGGCGATGAGGAATGGGGAATGGGGAATGGGGTGCCGATGGCGTCGCCGCACGCAAGAAACCGTCGACAGATGGTAGAAAAACGTCGACGCTGACAAAAGCAGCATGTTTGATGGTAGAAGAAAAAAATGCCTGAAATTTCATATGCAATGAATGAGGTAAATTTTGTATAATTTTCTTTCCGTCTGAAGTAAACGTCTTCATATCTACGTATTCATCACACAAATTTAAGAACATTTAACTTGCATACAATATGTACATTTATTTGTACACATTGAAAGGTTAACAAGTTTCCATTCGAGTCAAAGTCAACAATCTGGACTCATTTATTGCTTATTTTCAATTAGTATAAGTAAAACTACGATAACTGCATTGACTTGCAATTATTCAAAGCAGAAGTGTTTCCTTCTACATTGGTTTCCATTCTCTTTAAGCATTATACTTTATCAAGGAATTTGTTTTGATATTTTTTCTATGGAATTTGGACTGGACTTAGTTGTACATAGGACTCTTGGCACTTTTCTCTTTGTAGGTAGTACATTAGGTATTTTCGATAATAACACATGCTATTCTCAACCATTTGAAAAATATAAAAATTCGAAACATACATTAAAATCTTATCATTCATTCCATTGCCGGTTCTATCTGATGATTCATGCATGTGCTAAAATCATGTTTTGCCAAACATATGTGCATGTATATACATATATAGTAAGCGTAAAAAATACATATTTAGGTATGTAAGAAATAAACAACTGTATGGGCTTTTCAAATGTATTACTAACAGAATTAAGTAAATGTACAGACGAGAGATTTAATTCATGGCAGAAATATACCCGAGAATACTACTGCTTTATCCGATACAATTTTACTTTCTAAACAAAATTATAATCTGATTTCATTCATTACTTTATATACGTGTGTATTTTTTTTTTAATCATCTCTTCATCACTTCTTCAACAAATACTAATATGAATGAATATTTATATGTGCATATTTAAATACGACTAATAAATATATATATATATATATATATATATATATATATAAATATATGTATATGTATGTATTTATTGATGCCTATATTTTATTTTCTACTATTAATTTGCTCTACTTTTCTCACCATTATCAGCCGGTAATACCGATCAACAATAATTATATACATTTATACATAAGAAAGGTGCATGCATTGGCATAAAATAATTTATTTAATTGTGTTTAAACATATGTAGCTCAATTGTAAATTGCTATGTATTTGAGGTCCAAAGAAAAAACAATATTTTGTCATAATTTCCTTTTTTTAATTTACTGCCATATATATATATATGCTTATTACATTTGTATGAATCTGATCTTTCGAAACGCCGAAGAGAAGCCTCATCTCATAGAGAGAGATTTATTTATATAAGGCGATTTGTTGTTATTTTGCATTGTCCGAAATTTGAAATGTAGCCAAAAAATGAAAATTTGTACAAAAAGATTTTACGTTCATATGTGCATGAACTAAAAATGAATTCATACATACATACATATGTATGTACATATCGGTATGCGATTGCTTAATGGTTTGATGGTCCCGGAAAGTCAAAAAGATTTTTTTTTTGCATTTGAATTAATTTTAAATTTGAAAACAAGTAAAATATATATTTGTTTGTACATGGTTAAACATTTTATGCGAGTAAAGCGATACCGGAAATGGCATTTATAAATCTATGTAGTGATAATTTTTTTTAAAATATTAATAAAGTTATTACCTATTGTCGGCATAATATTAACATTTTTTTATAAATGAGAAATTTAGTCTCTAAATATAGAACATATTCTCTCGATTCCATGTAGTTCATACTTTTACCAAAAAATAAAAATAAAAAATAATGTATATTAATTATTACATGTTGTTGCTAATTACATTAATACACACCATTAAAACATACGTAAATTAAAAAAAAAAATACAATAAAAACACGTGAAATATCATTTGCAACATCTTTGCAATAAAAACTGCGCTCTACACCCTACAACGTGCCCGCCAGCTGATAAACAATAGATATAGTAAGACTCTCGGACTGTTTGTCTATTTCATTTGTACGACCATAAGTTTTGGGTAAAAATCGATTTTTTAATTTGTTTGTGAACACAATAAAATGCCAGCGTGTGAGGGCGTCAGGCGAATAGTGGAACCAAAAGTTAAATTTTTCCTGCCTAAACAAGTAACTGAGCATAGCGCAAGCAAGCAGCAGGCAATTGAGTGTCGCAGCGGCGTAGATGGTTGGATGGATGGATGGATGGATAGCGTATGGAGCGTAGGCTAAAGCCCAACGACACGCTGCATGATGTTGAATGAAAATATATTTTCGCTAAACGTCGCAAAAACGCATGCCTTCCATCGAATTACTGAAAAATGACGCAACGAAAACTATTGCTGGCGTATTAAAATTTTCAGCTGTTGGTCATAAACTGCATACAAATGAACGCATTAATAGGCGCGAATTCGGTACAGAAACTTTTGCAATAATGTAATACAAAGTTTATTAATTTTAAATATTTATATATATTATTACCGCTAAAGCGATTTTTGGCCAAATGGCGTATTGCAATTTTGAGTTTATAAAATTTTGTTTTTTATACTAAAAGTTCTTTTTTTTCAAAGAGCATATATGTATGCATGCTTGTTAGAACAACAGTGTTTTCTCCTTTTCTATTCATTAAAACGAGTATACAAACAAAAGACAAATCTTTGTGCACCTCTCTATATGTTAAATATGTATGTACATATTTCACATGAAATAAATCCTAATTTAACTAAGCTGAGCTGTAGTTCCTCCTTCTTTAAATTGTACTGTCTTAGTTTTTGAAATATGCTACACATCTTTTTTGTTGTTGTTGTTTTTGTTTGATTTTGTCATTCAGTACATATATATATATATATATATATATATGTAAACAGGCATATTTGTATGTAGCAAGAGGATATTGAAGGTATTAAGCGCACAAAATAAAAATGTATGAACAATTGTATGCATATACTTAAGTATGTATGTATGTATGCATGTATGTATGTAGGGTATGTAGCAAGTGCCCTACAATTGTACCATCACTTGGTCTTCTTTGTATATTTCTCTCATACGCAGGTATGTACATACATATGCATATATATATATATATATATATATATATATATATATATATATATATATATTTAGAACGCTAGTATGTATGTATGTATGTATGTAACTATACAAGTATAAACTCACCCTTAGCCAGCTACTAACTAAAACTAACTGCCTTTTGGCGCCCACCATACGACTCTGTTCCAGTCTTTGAAATGCGTACACACACCAACACACCTCTTGTACCTACTCACTCGGAACACACATTATGACGCCGTACCGCATGAGTAGGACAAGAACAACAACAACAACAAGAAAAAAATAAGAATAAAAAAACAACAACGATTGAAAATATGTGGCAAAGGCAATCGAAACAACATATTGCACACCTTGAACGAAATACAAACCTTTAGATAAAAATATGTTGAAAAGAATTAAAAACAAAAGCCATAAGAAAGCCAATGTTTATTTTGTCTATTTCATTTTGCCTTTTATTTGCATTCCGCACTATGCTGCCTTTTGTCTTGAATCCGTCTCATGCGTAGTACGTACCTACCTACCTACCTACCTGCCTACCTGCTTTCCATAGTTGAAGTGTTCCAATACATACATACAGTACATAGATGAATTTTCCTTAGTATATGTATTATTATCTCTCTGTCACTTCATGGAATTCCATGAAAATCTGAACAAACATATCCTTGTTTGTTACCAACTCTAGAAGAATTTCTTTTGGTAATCGTATTATTTTAGTTGTTTGCTTATTTTGTTTTTATGTTGTTATTGTTGTTGTTGTTGTGGTTGTTGTTGCAAAAATATTCCAAAAAATTATAATTGTAGGTGTGACAGTCCTTGGCCGTATACAAATCCGTGTCGTTCCGGTATAAAGCCTCGACTATCGGTCGGTAACTTTTGGATTTTAGCCGCCTCTTACGACAGACATGCCTTGCCGTGGGAAAATTCTTGAACCTCTAACCTGCACAGACAATTGGCTATATTATTTCCTANAAATAAAAAATAGAGAAATAGAAAAAAAATAAAAAATTGAGAAATAGAAAAAAAAAAAAAAAAATAGACATAAAACAAATAAATAATAGGTTTATACATCTGCACCTATGTATGTATATATGTATTTTCCTCAAATTCTTTAATATTTAACAAGTTGGAGAATACTAAAAGCATCAGAAGATTTCAAAATATCAACTATGAGCGGCCACATTATTTTTTTTATTATACTCAAATGTCAGTAAACAATAGTTAATGAAGCAAATAAACAAGAGAATGTGCAATCCTAAACGCTCATTATTTATTATGTGCCATTAATGTACATAGTATGCGATTTAATTTTTTTGTTTTCTATTTTATTTTTATTTTTTTATATTTTTTTTATATTTTTTTTTTATTTTTTTTTTATTTTTTATATATTTTATATATTTTTAATTTGTTTTTATTAATTTTTTATCTTATTTTATTTTAATTTTTTATATTTTTTTTATTAATTTTTTTTATAAATTTTTTATTTTATTTTATTTATTTTTTTTATTAATTTTTTGTTTAATTTTTTATTTTATTAATTTTTTATTTGATTTATTTTTTATTTATTTAACTCTTTTTATTTGATTTTTTTTATTTTTTATTTATTTAATTTAATTTTTTTTTTTTACTTTTGTATTTTATTTCAAACAAAGGAGCGTGTCGCACTGCTCATTGCCCAAGCAAATAATGAATGTGTATACATTTATTGGTATATATCAAATAGCTTTATCAATAAAAGCATGATCCTAATACCTTTTTTGTCTATACATATATACATATGTTTGTATGCATGCACTTATGTATGTGTGCACTAAATACCTTTTGATAAGTTTAAAATAATTATTCGTTCGCCTGTCCAAACCTTGCCATAAAGGCAAAGTATATGTGTATGTATGTTGCTTAATGAATATATGAACATACATACATACATGCTATTGGCTGTGTCATGCTTTCCAAATTTATCAAAAGTCTAAATTGCAGTTTTCTAATAGTTCCCAATAGCCATTGTGTAGGTGTTAAAATGCTCTTGAATGTTTGCAACGGATAGGTACCTACATACATACATATGTATTATCTATATAATATATATATATATATATGTATTTGTAATTTACTTTTGCTCTTAAAATTATTAATTATTTTAAACGCTTATAATTTTTCTGCATTTGAAGTTGTTTTAATTGGTTTAAAGAAACCTATAAACAATCCGTTTTAAATTAAAAAAAAATTCAACTTTTTTAACTAACTTTTTTATGTTTAGGTAATATTTTTTTTTTAATTTATATTTCTTGATTTTTTTTAATTTATATTTTTTTTTTGAAACTTTTTTTAAATTATATTTCTTGATTTTTTAGTAATTTATATTTTTTTTTGAAGCTTTTTTTAATTCATTAATTTTTTTTTTAATTTTTTTCATAAAGTTTTTTAATATTTTTATTTTTTTTTGGAAATTTTTTTATATATTTTAATTTTTTGAAGTTAATTCATATATATATTTTTTTAAATTTATTTTTAAATTTATTTTTTAAAGAACTAATTGATGTATTTTTTATTTTATTAATTTGTCTTTTTTATTTTATTATTTTTACTGGTTTTTTTTTTTAATTTTTATTTTTTTATTTGAATTTTTAAATTTTTTTTTAATATTTTTTAATTTTTATATTTCAGTATATTTTTAAATTTTTTTTATTCTCTTTTATTTTTTTATTTAATTTTTTTTTTAATTCTTTTTTAGTAATTTGTTTTTAATTTTTTTATAATTTTTTTATTATTTTTTTTATTCTTTTTTTTATTATTTTTTTTTTATTATTTTTTTTACGTTTTCCCCTTTTTTCCTTTTGTTAATGTTACATATTATATTAGCCATAATGATTTATTACATATGCTCGCATAAATTCGACAGTTTTTAATTACATTTATCACACATTAGATATTTTGGTATACCAGATATGAAAAAAAATCCTTAAATAAAGTATATTTGTATTCGGGAGTGTATGTATGTATATATATATCACATTTATATCTATATATGTATATGTATTGTATGTATATAAAAGAGAACCTGTTAATTATTTAATTCTTTCGTTTTTTTTTCAGGTCCCTTTACTCGACCGGTTATAACGGTTATGAAAATAACCAATCCATCAAATAATACTATGCTTTTCAAGATCAAAACGACCGCTCCAAAACGGTATTGTGTACGTCCGAATTTCGGTTCACTCGTACCCTACTCGGATGCCCGAATTGAAAGTGAGTTTTTTTTTTTACAATTGCAACAATTTTGATTACATACAAATTTATAATATTACTAAATTAAAAATTAATTATTTATTCAACAAATAGTTTGTTTACAACCATTTGAGTTTGACCCCAGCGATAAAAATAAGCATAAATTCATGGTTCAGAGCCTGGTTGTGACCGACCAAAATGTTGTAGACTTCAATGAATTGGTGAGTATAAACAAATTTGAAACATTTTACAAATGTACATATTTTAAATAGTTGTCTCAATGAATTTATAATAATAATATGATTTTCATCATTTATTAATCTTACTTATATATTTTTTAGTGGAAATCGGCATTGCCACAACAAATGACGGATGTTAAATTAAGATGTGTCTTCGAGATGCCAACTGTCACATCAGCTGCTGATAGCAGTGTAGCTTCAGGTAGGAAGCAATTAGCTGATTTACACTCAACGCAAATTTATTTAATTATTATTTATTTCCTTAGCTGGCACAAATGAAATAATAGCCAAAGAGACATTAACAAAAATTGAATCGGAAAATAAAGCAATACCATTTCGTGAAGAGAAAGTAAGCTGAACTAAACTAAATGAAAATAAAATTCAATTTCAAATATATATTTTTTTTTTGTTAAATGCAGGTCTCAAAAGTACTACCATCGGAGCAACGTGATGAGTTACTGTCTGATATTAGGCGATTACGCGAAGAAAATGAGAAGTTGGAAAGAGAAAAACGTCATCTAACGGTATGGTTGAATGGAATTTACCACGATATTGTAATGTTGTGATATGTATATAAACCAGTTGTATTCTAATATATTTCAGAATCAGGTCGATAAAATTCGGGAGTCATATCCAAAGACGTTGTGCGATCAGGCCTATACACCTATATTGGGTGAGAAGCAAATTCCGGTGTTCTATATAGCGTTGTCGATTGTTGCGGCCATATTTGGTTTTCTGTTTGGCAAATATTTTTGAATGCATACAACGCAAACGAAGCGACTTTGAAGTGCGGGCACGTTTATCAGCGGTATAACAACAACAACAGCAGCAACAACATAAAATGAGAAACAGCAAAATACACAAACAAACAGATAAACGATGTAAACGTAAACTAAAATAAAACAAAAATCTTATATTAAAAAAAAAAACAAAGAAGCAAATTCAATGAGAACAGTAATTGCAAAAAAAAAAAAACATATAACTAAAGAGGAAACGATCAAATGATTAAAGATAAATATAACGAAGAAAAGAGAAGAAAAAATAATGAAAATTAATACAAATTGTTGAAAGGTATTTTTTGAAAACTTATGAAACCACTTAAATGGGCATAAGCAGAGAAATGTGCGTAAAAATGAAGGCTTGAAAGCAAAAAAAAATAAAAAATAAAAAAAAAACATTTAAACTAAGATACACTATGATTTGCAATTAAACAATACGCGCTAAATAGCAATAGAACATTTAACACATACATATATACTGAAATAGCAAGCAAACATGTATAAAGCTCGGTGTAAGGTAGACAAACAAACGAACGGTGACTGAATATATACAGTTAAAGGAGGGAAATTAATTAGAAGAAAACCAAACAAAACAAAAAAAAAAATAATATAAAATAAATCCAATCAAATGTGTCTGTTATTGTGTGAATGCTTGCAAAAAGTAATATTTTTTTGTACAGCTAGCACATGGCACCGATTGAACGTTGGCACGGCATTTATTCTCATAACTTTATATATTGTGGCAACAAGTGAAAAGGAAGAGAAAAACAACAATTTCAAAAATAATACAACACTATATAATATGTAAACAAGGAATAATTAAATTAAAAATAAATAATAAAAATTCACTATAAAGCATTAGGTTTAATATGTAATTGTATGTTTGTTTATTTTTATTTTATTTTATTTTTTCAATCATGCTCGTACCGTAATGTAATATGTAACTAGCAATATCTCTACTCTCGGGATTATTACTATAATAGAATAAAGAAATATTAACTAATTTGCCTTTTACGATATAAAAACATGGTTTTCGCGCTTAGGAATGCATTATTAGCATACAACTGTAATATTGAAGAATGATTTTTTATTTAGTCAATGCGAGCTATATACATATATATATATATATTGTTTTTATTAAATTTTATTTACTTCAAAACAACTCCAAATTTAACACGCGTACATTCATTTAATTCATTTAAATTTCCACTATTTATTTTTTAAGCAAATCTTATATGAGCGTGCACATAAATTTTAGGTTTTGTATTGTTTCTTTTTTACATTGCACTGTAAAATATTTGTTTGATTATTAAAAATTTTCTTTGTTTCTGTTGTCGGTGGTGCGCAATAAATGTTAATTTTATGCGCTTTCGAACGCTTTACTATACAACACTCTTCATAGACTACTTTTACATATAAAGGAGACAAAAAAAAAAATGCATTCGAGCACTTAATTATTTGCACATTACCCGACTCTCTGCTGCTCGCATCTTACTTTACGTTGTATACGACACTTTTGTATTCACTGTGCCTGGATTACTAGTTTTCATACAGTGCATCAAATCATATTTCGTTAATAATGCTACAGTTTTATTTTTTTTATTTTTTAAATTCAAATAAAATGGAATAATTAGTTTGTGTCATTTTTGTTGTTGAACATACTAATATAAATATATGACAAAATCGCTTCGTGTTACTTCGAATTACCTTTTAGCATTGTTTTATATTTAATTCTCATTTAATCTTATTGTATACTATATATATATATATGTTTTTTTCAAAATGTATGTATGTATTTTTCTTGTGGTAATTTCTCAAGTTTTAAGTAAATAAATAAAATTAATTAATATGTTTTTAGTTTTATTTGTTTATTTGCAATTGAAGATGATAATTTTCAGTTTAAATTACTACAGCAGTGTGTAATTCCATACATTGCTGCACTGAATGCAGAATGTCCATTTTCTACTTAACGAATGTTTACTAATATGAATTGAACAAAAGGTAAAAATGTGCTTGTTTCTACAAAAAAAATTAAATTAAATTAAAAATGTTACTTTAAACAGGATCCATTAAATAATGTAAAATATTCTCATATCTATATACGAGTATATCTATGTATATACTTTATGAAGAAACGCAATATTAATAAGCTCCGTTTACGTAAAAAATTCGATAAGTTTAATTGAGGCATACTTCTTAAAATGTGCTTTCATACATTCATACATACCTACATACGAGTTGACTGCTTATAGAAGTACAATTTTTCATTTAAAACCATGTCAAGTTTCCCCTTAATGAGAAAGAACAAAAACAAATTGCATTCAAAAAATATTTGAATTACAGTAAATTGGCTGTAAATGTAATCAAACGTGGAGCTTTGCCATTATTCTTCATTTTGCCAACATAAGGCAACAACACGAACATAACTTTATGAAAACAACATTGAAATACTTAATTATTGCATTATTAAAATACATATTTATTTATATTTATGCATAAAATAATAAGTGAACAAAAAGTATTTTAAACATGTAATGAATAACGTATATAAATGTAATTTAAAGAAAAGTAAAAAAAAATATATATATATATATATATAAAGCAAATGGTTTTCTTTAACTTGTTAATTAAAGTGTAAGAAGAATATCATAAAAGAAGAAAAATATTAGTAAACTAAAAAATCCAATTAAAACAAACTAGTAACAAAAATCAATTTGTTTTATAACCAGCTATTGCAAAACATATAATTAACAAATAAAAAAGCATAAACAAAAAATAGAAAAAAATCTATAAAACAACAATAGTTGCGCGTAAACATGTAGATACGCAGAACAACAACAGCAAGATGCTATTTAAAATTTGCATACATAACAAATATGTTTCCATTAAAACTTATTAAAACTATTATTTAATAACAAACACCATATTAAAAGTATAAGCTGACAGATGGAGACAGAGTTATATACTGCAACAAAAATGAATTAAACAAATAGATAAAGTAAACGAAAACCCGTGCAGAAACGAAAAATGCAAAAATTACCTTAAATATATTATAATAAATGGAAAATTACAATTTTGCGATTTGTTTTTAATGTAATTGAACGGTCCTAACCTTAAAATTGGTTTTCAAATGCAATACCACATTAAGACGTACAATTGTTCTGCTAGGAAAGGGGGGTACGTCTATTTTGTAGCTTATTGTAAATAAAATTTTATCTATGGTGAGCAAGTTCTTTCTCTTTCTTTCAATAAGAGAAACATTTTACACTAACGTGCTTCTGGCGTCACTTCTTCAAATGGTATTCCAAAAATATAAATGAATGCTCTCCAATTGATGTACGACAATAATTACTTCAGCAGTTTCTACATCGTCCTCAGGAAAGCCGGGTGAGCAGCAAGCGAAATTAAATTTCTTGATTACTTTTCATATGTGAAAGACTCAGACTCTCAGAGCCCTTCCAATAACTTTAAGTTGAATATGAATTTTTAAAAAGTACTAAGCATTAAATATTCCGAATGATACAAGAAAAACTAAAAACAAACTACCGGAAGTTCTAACATTTTCACGTTATAAGACATTTGCGCTATTTTTAAATACTGTTACACATAATGGTGTTGCCAGACAACAATTATTTCGAAGTAAAATATTTCATAATTTAATTTTAAAAGCGGTCTAATGTTGCAAAAAAATTTTCTAGAAACTAGTTTATCAAAAATCTACTAAGTCAAGATGTTGGCGCAGCGGTAGAGCACTCGCCTGTTTGGGCAGGTTGCATTGGTTCGTACCCTGCCATAAGAAGTGTGAAGAGGCGATGTGGTGATCTGAGAAACAGCTGTAACTTCTACCATTTTTCTTTGCTGTATACGAAAAAAATATTCAATTCAAACAATTCAATTCAATAAACTTAAAATTTATAAATGCTATTATGGGATATTAAATTTCAGAAATTCATTTCGTTGATTGTTGAATTTTTTTTGACACCTAAACTTTTTGAGCACGATAAAATTTGCTGTGCCTAATGACACCCTTACTTGTATCTAAAAAAGCAAAATTACCGTAAAACTTCAAATGCTTGATCTCCACAATCTGGCATTACAACAAACAGCTGATATTTGTTGATAACATTTTCGGCTGTATTCTCATCAGCAAAAAAATTAACATTTCGGCTTCTAAATTATCCGTCTACGACTGGTTACACCAATAGCGCAATGTTTTAAATCAATATCAAAGTGCTAAAATACACAGTTAAAACACAGTCCAGTGTTATTTATACAGCTTAAAATCTATTCATCTAGTTCTGCGGATCACGTGCTGTAGGGCCAAATTTTAATTTCACAAAGTGGTATGGTTGGTTTCTTTGTTTTATCTATTGACAAAAAAGTGTACATATATGTAAAATGTACAGCTCATTACATACATATATAAATGAGAAACACTTGTTTGCAATGATATTTGCTTATTCAAACATAATTGTAAATATGCACATCTACATGTGGACCTCGTTATATTTGCAGACATAAAACTGGAGAAGTGCCGAGGTCTAGTGGTGAAGTGGTTTGAAGAGGCAAGGCAGTTGAAACAGCGAAACTAGCAAAGTAACGTCACTTTTTCACAACATAAGAGGAGAATATCGTAGCTCTTTTCTTCTGTATAATAATAATCAGCTTTTATTAGCAGTGCTTCTTTTAGGTATTTATTGTGCTTTTTTTTAAGTTTAAAATTCTTATTAATAATTATTTAAATATTAGTTTCTTTGTTATAATAGTTTGCCAATAGAGAGTGAAAATATGTCACCAACACCAGTACTGTCGTCCTGCGTACCATTTCCAATTGAGGAGCGTACACTGATTGATGTTACACAAAAGGCTAAAGATTGGGCTATTATGCATGGTGCTGCAATGCGTTCCAAAGCGAATTTCAGTCCTGATGCGCTAAATGTAATTTGCAAATCATTGCTTTAATAGCTAAGTAGTTTAAATATACACGTATGTACATACATACATACATACATTTTCTATATGTGGTGTAGAGCAATTGTGAAATTCTCTTAAAAAATGATTACTAAAAGTGAGCAAGCAAAATTAGTTGCTCAAAAAGATTTGATAAAAAAAAAATAAGAAGAGGATTGAAACAGATAAATTGACCGACTTTAACAAAAGATAGATAAGCTTGTCATGATTATTTTATTCCTGTGTTGATTATCATAATCATAATGTATGAAACTATTTACCTAACTACTAAATCTTATCTTAAGATGTATTTTTATATATTATATTTATATATGTATGTATATACATATTTATTTTATCATACAATGTACAATTTGGATATATATTTAAATTTCATTATATATATTTATTTATTTCTACAAACTCTCACAGTTTGCGCCATTTATTTTGACGCCATCTTCCTTCCCGCGCAAAGAATTTGAAAAGGCCAAAGAATTGCAGACAATCATTAATCAATTAATGCATAATGTGGCGCATGATGAAGAGTTTCTCACCACAACTTTAGCGGAAACTATAAAAGTAGACGAATTCACTTCAAATTTGTTTAATGTCTACAAGAAGGTGCTTGCCAATGGCTTTGGACAGGTATTATACAATTTTTACATAATTTTTTCAGTGTAAACATAAGTTTTTAATTTCAAATTTTTAATTTTGTTCATGAAATTCATTACAAAAACATTTTAACATTTTTTCCAATCATGAAATTCTGTACAGAACTAATTTAATTGAGCGATTTAAGTCGATATATAAAATTAAATTCATATTTCTTGGCTCAAACGGCTTTAATATTTTTTTAGTAAATATAGAAGTGTGTGCACATATAAAATTTCGAATGAAGCTTTGAAAGCACACTGATTTGAATTATTAATTATTTGTTAAAATTTAATTTAATTTATACGATTGACCGCGGCCGTATCATATTTCTCTTAGTCTATTGATTGCTATCTACGTATTTGCCACTCTTTAAATTAAAGATTTTTATCAGAATTTTTTAACAATCAGAAGTGATTGAGCAAAAGAAGTACTAAAGTGAAAGTTATTAATATATAAGTACAAACATAGTACTATATTAATTTGAGGCAATCGTTAAGCTGTTTATTAATATAACAAGCAACAATGCAATTAATTTGTTGCTGCTAACAATATCTGCTCATAAATTTATATTCATTCAAAACATTTGATTTTGGTTTTGGCTATAAACTGTATTGCTTACGTCACATCCTCATTTCGTTTTCATAATACTCGTGCTATCGCCTTATATAATCACATTTTCCCCTACCCCAATGTGTAGTTAATTGTATCGAAAGCATTAAAGGAATTAATAGCTTTTGGTTTTCACTTTGCTCTGATGGTTTCTAATATTTTGTATTTAATGATTATTTCGTTATATATTTATGTATGAACACGCACGCACCCATTGGCAATCGAATGAATTAATCGTAATGCAAACGATTGAAAAAATCATGAAAATTATGAAAATTATGAAAATTACTATTAAAAATGGAAAATTTTGAATAATAATAATATTAATAATAACAATATGCATCGAACATATATATATATATCTACAAATGAACATACGCACGCGCGCATATGTATGTAGCAAATATCGTTGGGCCTATTGCGCAGTGATTTGATGTTGGAGACGAATTGTGTACAAATGTTAGAGAAAAAGAAACATACCCCGTGTGCCTACTGTTGCTGGAAACAAGTTGAAATTAATACAATAGCTTCTGGTTTTGGCCATTTAGGACCAATAAGCAAAGACATACAAAGGTGCAAATTTAATTTTTTATTACTTTCCATATTTTTTAATAATAGCAATAGTGTGTAGCCAAACAAATTGTTATTCTTTGCTTATCCATTACTTTATTAATAGATAGATAGCATAACAAAAAAAAAAAAAAACAAAAAAAAAACGGCGTTTGGATGAAACAATTTAGTTTTCTTTTTGTAAAACATTATATTTTTTATACTTTATTTTAACACTTTTTGCATTTATAAGTAGGTAATAGAATTATTAGACATTTATTTTCTTTTAGCTTTATTGCGCTTATATTAGGACAAGCATTTTATGAAACAAACAAATTAGCTTAATTGTATGCTTTAATGAATTTTCTACTTATTGGCTCTTTTAACATAATTATTTGGTAAAATTAATACATTTTTGGAATGTATAGGCTTTGCATGCTTGTATCTTTGGGTTTATTTCCTTTTAAATACAAACAAAATACGTATTTTATTTGAATGCCTTTTTGTTATTTCCCACTTTTTTTTTTTTTGGTCTATGCAAGTTGTCTGTGTTGCATAAGACCAAATATTACACAAAATATCTAGAAAATTACTTGTAAACGAAATTCTGGTTCGAGCTAGTCGTTGAACGACTTCAGTTTAAGAGATAATATCCTCACTAAGTTGCTTATACTTATTGGAAGTATACTTATTGAAATTAACAGCCGCTTTGACGGTAGCGATGAAGAGTGACTGCAGGTGGGAATAAAGTCAAATGCACGAAAACTGTGATTGGAAATTCTTAGTTGATGATAATGGAAACGTTTTTTTTTTCTCTCTCTTAAATAGTTAAATCTTAAATGCATGTTGGTTGACGAAACCGCACTATAGTCTGCACAAAAAATGGCAATTAAATGGCTTTCCTTATGCACACAATAAATTCACTAAACAAAAAAGGAAGTAAGCAAGGCCGCAGAACTTATACAATTTTTACATAAATATCAATAATATAATGAAAATTTTTAAAATTAACTCAAGGAATTGAAGCAAGGCATTGTTTTTAGAATCAACGCGAGACCAACTCGGTTAATCAAAATAAAGTCGGACTGTTAGGTCAAGTGCAATACAAAATATTTCGAACACGTCATTTAATTCAGCAGTTTTCGAGACTATAAATGTACATTACAAACATATTATTATATATTATATAAGAGTAATGACCTAAATAGGTAAAAAAGGCACGTCAATTTGTTGTTTTGATACACAAACTAAATTTTCTGATTTAATTATTTAATTTTTGCTGCAACCTTTTTTTAATTTTTTTCTTGCTATTTATGATTTATTTATTTATAAATAATTAATTAATATGTATAAATTATGTATTTCCTATATAACTTGCTATTTATTATTACTATGTCTTTTTTTTGTTTTTTATTTATTTTTTTTTGGCATTTGTTTGGTACACAGTTTGGCCAGGGGTTTTCTTTGCTAGTAGCTGATCCATCAACCGATTGTATTTAGATACAGTTTTGTCTTTTGTTGTTGTTATAACAATATGTAGATACCTACATTCTTGACCCATGATAATGCTCATTACTGTAGTTAATGACATTTATTTCAATTGAAAAGTTGTATAAATAAAGAACTTTATTGATTTAATATTCCTTTTTACTAATATCAGTTAGCAAATACATACATATATAAATGTATTTAAATATATACATTTTACTGCTTTTCCCACTTTATTCGCGTAATTAATTTTTATGAATCATTTAAAGTAGAAATTACACACGTTCATAATCAATTAAATCAGTCAAAAAAAAAAAACAAATAATCAGTCAGTCACTAAATCAATCAATTAAATCTCACACCAAATGCAATCACATCGCATCGCAACCACATCGCACAAATTTCACGGAAATATTTTAAACAAAAAAAAAAAAGAAATCAAAATTTCAAAGCAAAATCAATAAACAGCATTGCAATATGGTTTAAATGCAGTTAATTTGTCATATAAACATTGACAATTAATCACTGTCAGGCATAATATCAGTTCAGCATGCAGCATTCACTGTGATTTCTGATGAAAATTGTTTTTGATCCATCATTTTCCTAAAAAAAAAAAAAAAAAAAACTAAAATAAAAATAAATCACCTAATCTGCTTTATCAATCGAAATAAGATTTCCATTAAATCATTTAAACTAATTTTCTATGATGTAAATGTTTGTATGTGTGTATCAATTTTCAGGCTTATTCGCTCGGTTTATTACGTTCCGACTATTTGGCTCACATACTCGAAGACAATTCAATTAAACAAGTTGAAATCAACACGGTTGCCTCTAGTTTTGGTGGCATCTCCACACACATGCTGCCTCTGCAGAGGTATTTTGATTTTTTCTATCCCAACATCAACTATATTTTGTCTCCCTTATTTGATTTTCTACGCTATGTTTGTATGTATGTATACAGTATGTATTGTTTTTAGAGTTATTAAATGTGAAAAAGAAAAATAATATACATATATATTAAAAAAAAAATATTTATTTACTTTTTTGCTGCTTGTAAAAAAATTGTTTTTTTTTTTTATTTTCTAACAGTGTTTGTGTGTGCCTAATACAAATTAATATTTATCAATTTTCTCTTTCCCTTTGGCAGTTGATTTTATATGTAAATAAATTTTATTAATAATTTTTATTAATTTTATAATACAAATATACACTATGTAGCTAGTGAAAAGTGGCAAAGAATTTATTTTTAATTTGCGTATTTGTTTTTATTTATTTAAATTAAATTATTTACTCATGTAGAATACGCTTAGCGCGCCTAGTTGTAGTGTTTAGACGCAATTGTAGCTTTACATATATACGTGTACATATTTAATTTAAGTTTGTACGTAATCGCTAGTATCTTTTAGACTTATTTGTATGCCTCTGTGCTTTGTAGACACAACTGAAATCAAACTTTCACGCTTTAAACACAACTAATTTAATGTTTCTTTTTTTCTTTTTTTGTTTTTGTACATTTTTTGTTATTATTTTCATATAGCTTCGTAATGGTTGAGCTGGGTCATGCAGATAAATTGAAAAATGTAAGCATATTTTTTGTACAAATGAACAAAAAAAAAAAATAAATAAAAATATTAACTTCCTTTACTTTTAGATGCCTGAAAATACCGCTTTATCTGGCCTCTGCGGTGGCATGATTAAGGCCTGGGAAGTATACGGTGCACGGAAATCAGTAATTCTCTTTATCATTGAAGATGTCTCCTACAATATCTGTGATCAGGTACATACATGTACATATGTACATATATATTTTGATATTATACTTTTAACACTTTTCTTAAAAATAATAAAAATAAAAAATTCTTTTTACACCTCACAGCGTTTCCATGAGTTTTACATACGCGAACAGCGTCCAGAAATAAAAGTAATACGTCGAACGTTAACAGAAGTGCACAAAGAGGGAAAATTGGGACCGAATAAGGAGTTGTTTCTGTAAGTCGCATATTAATATGGTTAAATGTTTTTTTTTTTTCTTTAAGAATTTTTGATATTTACAATATGTACATATGTACATATATTTAACAGCCATATTTTATGTTATGACAATAGTCAGAGAAAAATCTTACTTTGTTAGAAATAAAGTGTTTATCCGTAGTGTTGTTGTTGTTGTTGTTGGTGTTGTTGTTGTTGCTGTTGTTGGTGTTGTTGTTGTTGTTGCTGTTGTTGTAACGGCTTTTCAAACCCCGCATAGAAAAAGCATAATTAATCCAAGTCACCGAAGTCATCGAACAGGAAGTAAAGGAACCGAGCTGTTTTGACGCTCTCAAACCCCAGCGAAAGGAGGGTTAGATGAGTTGGTTTTTGGGGGGGCATATAAAGTGGTAGTTGGACACATGCTGGTCATACGTTAAGTATGTCGGATACAAGTCTGCATAGGTAGAAGTTTAAACTGCCAGTATAACGCGGGTCTATTATGGATGGTGGTGATTTCACTCCGAGGACGCTATTCACAGGCAGGGAGTTTTTGAAGGTGTTGACTGACTCCTAGTGAATGGCGTTTAGTGCCTGTGCCTGTTAGTACTCCCGTTCTGATGTGCTTGTATGGAGGTTCTGCCTCGATTAAATTTCTGTTGGGGTGATCCCTATGCTAACATGCCAGTAGAAGTGGCTTGCACAGTAAATCATTATGTTCCTTCGCTGTGCAAGTGATGCTCTGGCGTCATCAGAAGGTTTTCTGTCGTTGTGCTAGGGGCGGCGTTTTGGTAGGCCTCTAAATTCTTCAACTGATCTCGTTTGTTCCCGGTGCCCGGATCGGTGTGGAAATTTGCGGCAATTGCGATCGTATGTGGAGCGTAGGAGTATAGGCTGTCGAATGTGACGCCGGGTAACTTTAGGTTGTTTGTGGTCGGGATTTTGACGCTATCGACTTTCACATCTTGTTCGAGTCTGTACTCTTTGTTCAGCTGGTGAAAAGGGCAACCGAGGATTTTTGTAATTGTCTTCCAGTGAAGAGGTGGAAAGGTCGAACAAAGATCATCAAACAACTCTCACGACGCATCGGAGTTGACCCGAATTTTATCCGACCAAGGGCTTTTAACATCAACATTAATCGAATCGCTCATTCTGTCTCTACGATGACCAAGGTTTAAGTCCTGGTTCGATCAACGTCCAAAATAATAGAAAATAAATTTTTTTGTTTGTGGTCGCCCCTAGCCAGGTAATATCAATCCTGACATGAAAATCAAAGCTCCTTTTAAAAATCCATCGGCCGTTCGAAGGCGGTGTTCGCTTAGTTTAATCAAAATACCTCAAACCTGGCTTTGCTAATCGTGTACACGGTGGACATATGGCTGGACAGACAGACAGACAGACAGACATGGTTAAATCGATTATCCTCATCGTGTCTACCGTTAGTTGAACAAATTTAAGAACCCTACGGTTTTACGGTTACAACAATAACAACAAACAATTTTCTTACCATACTACAACCGAATATAAAAAACAGTATAGCCACATTCCACACACTGCCCACCTTCACGCATAAGGAACTGTAATTTAACTGACGAAAATTATTTTTCTTCCTTGTTGCACTCCAGTGGCGAATACGAAGTGGCTGTTATATATTTCCGTGCTGGTTACGAACCTGATCACTATCCAACACAAGATGAGTGGGATGCACGTTATATGATGGAGTGTTCACGTGCGATTAAATGCCCATCAATACACTATCATTTGGCTGGTACGAAGAAAGTTCAACAAGCGCTTGCACAACCCGAAATGTTGGAGCGATTTATAAGTGATCCAGAGAAGGTAAAAATTTTAAGCAAATGACCAAAGCTTGTGAGCATTTCTTACTTAAATTTTTATTTCATATCAAATGCAGATAAAAGCTATAGGACAAATCTTCACCGGCCTCTACTCGCTGGACGATTCTGAAGTAGGTAATGCCTCCTACGAAATGGCATTAAAAGAACCAGAAAAATTTGTACTGAAGCCACAGCGTGAAGGTGGTGGTAACAATGTGTATGGTGTTGACATTCCAGATGCGCTGAGGGTGAGTGTAAAGCTTTTTTTTTCATCAATATCAATATCAATTATGACTTTATTGAGTGCATTAATTTATAGTATGTGGCATAACTAATAGTAGCCACCAGCTTTTGCTGAAATTTTCAACATTCAATATTATTGTTTAAATTGATTTCAGAAAATGAGTCGCGTTGAACGTGCCGCCTGGATACTTATGGATCTCATTCAGCCACCGATTTCGCAGGGCTATATGATACGACCAGGTGGTAAATCGCCGCCCGAAATTGTGGATCTCGTGTCGGAGCTGGGCATTTTCGGCGTCATACTAGGTGATGTAGATAATGTAATATGCAATTACCAAGCGGGTCATATGCTGCGCACGAAACTCTCGACAGCAAACGAGGGCGGTGTGGCAGCCGGACTAGGTGCTTTGGATAGTCCATATTTGCTGGATTAGCGTTTTAACAATTAAGTTTTGGAGTGTAAAAAATTTGTAGTACCTTTGGTTCGGTGAAAACTGTTTTAATTTGCAATTTTTGAATAATGACACTATTTAAATTTGTTAATTTTTTTTTTTATTAATATTTACCAACATCATGTGAATTTGAAACAACTATTTTTAAATTGCACTTTTTTTTAGACTAAAAATTTTGATTAAATTTTTTAATCATTTCTTTTTTCACACACACATGCAACACACGCTACTATCATGTAATATTATATATATCAGGCAATATTATATATATCATGCAATATTGTACCCTTATATATATATATCATATATAATTGGCGCTTTGTAACCGCTGAAGCGATTTTCCGCCGATTCCGATTTTTTTATATATATACACATATAAATAAAAGAATGAAAACAACGCTGTTTTTTTTTTTAAACAAATCATATTTTAAAAATATATATACATGTATATACATATAAATAATCAAAAATATATAAACATCGCCATTTAGAATAATTAAAAAAGAAACAATTAAATCACAGATAAAATTTCGAATTACATTTCACTAAATATTATTATATACAAATACATTTGATCTTTGATCAGGTGGCAGGTCATGGCAGGGTTGGTGTGAGGAACATACTCTCAGCTCGACGAACTACTTTTGCTGATCAGGACAGGCCATTTGATAGAGGAATTGTATCATTGTACGGGTCGGGCGACCAGTCATGCGATCTTTCAACAAATATGGCAGAGTACCGAATTTCGTCAACATGCCCACACCACGTATATCCAAATGAGCCCAATCCACGCAAGGCACAAATTGCTGTACCGCAGTGAAGAATGAAAACAAAATTAAGTACAAAACCAACCAATGACCAAAATCCATTGTGTAATTTACATGTAAAATAGCAGCAGCCAAACAAGATGAAGCCGGGCCAGATCCATTATTGCTCACATCGAAACTAACATGGTCTGCAGAATTTAATTAAAAAAATAATTATATATACATTATTATTAGCAATTTCTATACAAAGCAACATAGACAGACATAAATCATAATCACTCACTTGTGACCAGATATTTATAATAGTTCCAGAGCGGTAAGCGCCACATGCGATCGCCAGTGAGTGAACCGGCCTTTTGGAATTGTTTCCAAATGTAATGGGAGTTTGAGAAAATGCCAGTTGCACCACCACCCAATGCCTTCTTCACACCCTTGCCCAGTGTTGCCACATCGACAACCAGACGTGGCTTGTACGTAGTCTGAGCATAGATCAGCGGATCAGCCATTACGACCACGCCAGCCTTATCAGTATCCTATATATATATGAAATACATTTATGTTATTACGTATTTTTTTTTTTTCATTTCGCTTTAATAAAAACTTACACGTATCGCCAGTGATTTACCGTTAAGCAACGTGACTACATCGCCGGGCTTGCAAGCCATACCCGAAGGCATATTCTCGCAAAGTGGTATAACTGCCGAAATGTTAATAGGTAAAGAGAGCGCAGCAGCAGCGCGTATGGAAGCAACTACAACAGCGGCACCGGCCATGGCGCCACGATATTCATCCATACCCTTGCAAGGCCTTAAGCAGAGGCCACCACTGAAAGTTATAGGAATTAAAAAATATATATATTATTTTACTTAACCTCAGCTCTTTTTTTTTAATTATAATAAATTCGTAACCCTGACTCACCTATTGAATGTCATACCCTTGCCCAATAACAAAATCGGCTTATCTTCTGGCGCTGTACCGCAATAACTTATCTCCAGCAGCACGGGCGGTTCGCAGGAGCCCTTCGCAATCATTAGAAATGAATTGAGATGTTGCTGTTCGATCCATTCCATTGTAGGTATCTCAACCGTTACCCCGCGTACATAACGCGTCCACAGTAGCTTGTGCAAATGTGGTGGGCGTCATTTGATTGGCTGGTGCATCACTAAGTCGGCGAGCAAGATTTTGCGCTTCTGCTTTGAACAGACCACGCGTCCAGGCATCAATGTCGGGCGAATCGTATAACTCTAATTTAGGAATCACTTTTCGATCCTTCTTCATTTTATTATCTTGATATCGCCAAATTGCCAAGGCACTACCTTCGGCAGCCTGTTCGGGATATTCCATCGAATCAACGAACACTTCGGAACAGCCTTGCATCTGCAAGCTGCGCGCACCGACGCCAGCTGCGACGCGTACATTTTCCTAAGATAATTTTGAGGTTATTTAAAAGGAAAAAAAAGAATGTAATTTACGTTTCAAATAAAATATAATAATTATTAAAATTATTTCGATTTAGCCCATCAGTTTACCGAACAAAGCTATTGTTTCATTTAAAGCAAAATCATTGAAACATTTAAAAAAATTTATAAATTTAATTTTATAAATTTAGTAAAAATTGTGTTAATTTTAACTTCACTTTTGTATTTTTATAAAAACACAATTTTGTATCAATAAAAAATTCTATTTACTATTATTTACTTCGTAAACGCATTACAAAAAAAAAAAAAA